TTAGACATCGGATTTGGTGAAACATAAATCTGCATGGTGTCAAGTATCAGAGGGGTAGCTGTGCTAGTCTGAATCTGCAAAAGCAGCGAGGAGTCCTGTGGCACCTTATAGACTAACTGAACTGTTGGAGCATAAGCTTTCGTGGGCAAAGACCTACTTCATCAGATGCACGATGTGGGTCTTTGCCCACGAAAGCTTATGCTCCAACAGTTCAGTTAGTCTATAAGGTGCCACAGGACTCCTCGCCGCTTTTGCAAATCTGTACGGGGAACATTTTAACCGACCTCGTGACTCAACCATGGATTTAAATGTAGGTATTCTTCCATAAAGGAATTTAACCAGCCAATTACAGACAGACAGACACAGACAGACAGACAGACAGACAAACTGGTATTCATCCATTAATTAGATACTGGGCTCAAACAAGGATGTTAACTGGATGTTGCAATTATAAAGCCAATCTCCTCTGCCTTTAATAACTGCATTTTGACATCAAAACCTCAGAATGGGACACTTTCATACCACTTAATTAGCTTCCCCCCTATTATAAATATCTTGGTTCTATTATTTCCATTCCAGTTCATCATCTGATGAAGTGGGTTTTACCCATGAAAGCTCATGATATTATTTATTTTTGTTAGTTTCTAAGGTGCCACAGGAGTACTCATTTAAGTTACAGACTAATATGGCTATCCTTCTGAGACTTTTTACATTTGAAATTCACAAATATCCCTTTAATACTTTATGTTATTTGTTTTTAGGACTCTGTATACACTCTGTAAACTTACAGGAAAACTCTGAACTAGCCACTAGCTAACAATATTCAAAACAAACTTGTGGCTGAATGTCCTGGAAACAATATTTTTTTAAAAAAACAGGTAAATTTTAAGACACACAGAAAAGGGATCATTAATGACCATAGCCTGTGTTTCACATCTCCAGCAAAATGTTCTCCTAGCATTACTTTGTAGGATTACAAATTTACTCTCAAAACCATTTCCTGTAACTCTCATTTTCCTTAGGGGCTCCCATATAAGTATTAACTAGACCTAATACTGCTTAGCCGATGAAATCTCAGTCCAAAGAGGAATCACTACAGGCATTTTTCATGAAGTATGGCTATTTTATCTATTGGAAACACTGTTCTCCTTCCCACAGAATTAGGAAGCTTGGTCTAATTTAATATATACTTTGTTCACATTTAAAGAGTTGCAATTAAGCCTAGAACACAACATTCATATTGAGCGTCAATTTAGTTCACATTAAAAATAACCCGGAACAATTATTCCATGATTAAGCTACAATAGTAGTAGTATAAAAAGGAAGTATGAAGCTTTACTCAGCTTTATAAGGCAAAATAGATTAAAAGGTCTGAAAAATAGAACACTACTGTAGTAAAAGGATGAAATTTGCCACTAGCAAATGTGAATCTAATTCCACCAAATTAAATATGGCCTAACATTTCTAAAACTGAATTAATCACAAAATACAGGACTATCTAGCACTTTAAAGACTAACAAGATGGTTTATTAGATGATGAGCTTTCGTGGGCCAGACCCACTTCCTCAGATAAAATAGTGGAAGAAAATAGTCACAACCATATATACCAAAGGATACAATTAAAAAAAATGAACACATATGAATAGGACAAATCACATTTCAGAACAGGAAGGGGATGGTAAGGTAGTTGGTGTCTTTGAACAGCCCCCCATGGAGAGTGTCGAATTTTAGTATGAATGACAGTTCAGAGGATTCCCTTTCAAGTGCAGATTTGAAAGTCTTCTAGAGTAGGATGCATGTGATTAGGTCGTTGAGACAATGTCCTTTCTGGTTGAAATGGCAAGAAACTGTTTTTTCTTTGTGATCCTGTCTAATATCTGTTTTGTGGGCATTGATCCTTTGGATCAATTAGTTATAAGATCAAGAATACATATTCCTGCGCATCCAGAAATATAATTTATGCTATCATGTGCCGAAAGTGTCCGTCTGCTATGTACATTGGACAAACCTTCCTCTCCCCCCCCACCGCATCCCCCTTCTGTTCTGAAATGTGATTTGTCCTTTTCATATGTGTTCATTTTTTTTAATTGTATCCTGTGGTATATATGGTTGTGAATAATTTCTTCCACTATTTGATCTGAGGAAGTGGGTCTGGCCCACGAAAGCTCATCATCTAATAAACCATCTTGTTAGTCCTGTATTTTGTTTCAGCTACACCAGACTAACACGGCTACATTTCTATCACTATTCTTGAATTAATCATGTCTTTAAACCAACATTTATGCTATACAGAGATGTTAAAATGTGTATATTTGTATAAACAAGTAACTGCTCAATTTTTCAGCGGTTATACATTTACATGTGGGGGGGAGGGAGGGTGCAGGAGCAGGCTTTTAAGCTGGGTCCCTGCAAACACCGGCTCTCCCTCCCCTCCTTTCTTTCTCCCCATTACTGACTCTGTATCAGAGGCAGCAATGGAGGTGAGAGGGAGGCAGGCAGTTTTAAGCTGGGTCCCTGCAAACACCGGCTCTCCCTCCCCTCCTTTCTTTCTCCCCATTACTGACTCTGTATCAGAGGCAGCAATGGAGGTGAGAGGGAGGCAGGCAGTTCTACCGTGTGGTGCTCAGAGGGAGCTGGCTTAAAAGCTGGCTTTCTATGTGTAATAAAATAATAATAATACCACAGATCCCTCCACGTTTCTAGTAAATGACCAAAAATATTTTTGTATTTATACTCCGAAATTGGCATACCAAGTCCTATATTTACACACAATATTAAAGCGAACCTTAACTCAGGCGGACATCTTTAGAGATTCTCAAAGCTTTGCAATAACTTCAAGTAAATGTCAAAAATAGTGGCTTAACTTTAAGTTTTTAACACACAATTTAGCCTCAAGCAATCTAATTAAATTACTAGTTTAGCTACAGCTGTTGAAGTCAGTCTTTCATCACACTGGCTGCAGAAACTGATGTAATTCATTTTATATTGTGCACTATGGATGCCACATTAAAAATCCAAATTGTTTCAAAGTCAAGAGGTACTTTTAACTAAAATATATTTTTTCCTGAAAAACCATAATACAAATATTTTATTTGAAAGTTACTTAAACAATTTCTGCACAAGAGAAATTCTTTACAGCCACTTTAAAAAATTACAGAAAACAGCACTTCCAAACAGAAATTCTTACTTACATTTAAGTGTAATAAATGCTGTAATAAAACTAAGTCATAAAAGCAGTGTGTGCAAAGTACTTACATATACTGAGAATAGAAAAATATAGGTATGCCTCCCTAATAACTCATATTAACACTTCTCTGTGCAAGGTAATACTGATATTTAAAGATAACCCATATAAGCATGTTTGTACAAGTTTGGCTCAATGTACAATCAACTTAGTGAAACTTGTTGCCATGGAATGTTATGAAGGCCAAAACTATAACTGAGTTCAAAAAAATAATTAGAATCATGGATAAGCCTATCATTGGGTATTAGCCAAGATAGTCACAAATGTTACCCAATACCCTGGATGTCCCTAAACCTCTAATTGTCAGAAGCTAGGAACGGTTGACAAGAAGGATTACTCAAAATGTCCTTGTTCTATTTATTCTGTCTAATGTATCTAGAATGGACCACTGTCAGAATACAGAGTATTGGGCTAAATGGACCTTTGGCCTTAGCCAATATGGCCATTTTTACGTTCTTAAGATAAAAAATGATCACAAATCATACTGTATTTTAAAATGGGGAAAAAAATGTTTTGATGCGTAATGTTGAAAAACTGTTCTTAATCTCCTGAGGTTAAATATACCAAACCACCACTCCTCCCATATGGTACACTAGACAATATTTGTACTAAAATTAGACAGGAACAATTATCTCAACAGTTCATCTCTTTGATTCTGTTTATCAGTACAGCCATATTTGGACTTAGTGTAAAATTTTCAGAAGTAGCTAATTGAGATATTTCAGGAAGTGGTGATTTTCAGAAGGGAGATGCCAGTACTTTTCAAAAATCAGATGTTTTAAAGCAGTATCCAACTGCGCACCGCAAAACTGAGTCATTCAACATTACTAGTCACATTTGAAGACCGTGTCATTAGACTTTTTAAACAGCTGTTAAAAGTCCCATAATATATAAGCCATTTGAATGTAAACATTGAGGTAACTCATGTAAACAATGAAGTAACTTTCCTCAGTAGGTCAGTGAAAGCACTGCATGTATAGGGTGCCAGAATGTATAAGTACCCAAACATACTATTTTCTTTTAAATATCTCAATTGAATTTAGTTCTTGTTAGCTCTCGTTAACACTAGTAAGAACATGTTGTACCAAAGAGACATGAGTTTTTTCCAGCTATTATTAGTGCACTAATACATATTTCTTTTAAAAATGGTATTCCACTAATGACTCCAACTGCTGTCCACCCTTTTGGGGTAAATTAAAGAGGCAAGCCTTTGTTTGTTATTTTTAGCCCTGTAGCACAAGCCCCATGACCCTGAGTTAGTTGTTCCAGTCTCTGAAACTTGCTGCTGTGGGTCTTTTTTTTTTTTTTTTTTTTTTTTTTGGGCAGTGTAGACATTCCCAGTGAGGATTCCATATCCTGGGGCTCCCTGCAGCAGCAGATTTGGCAGTACTGTCATAACTGGCTCTGCCAATTGTGTTGTTACAGCTCTAACTATAGCAAAGGCACATCAAGGAAGGATTGAATTCTGATGCACTAAACAATACAACATAAACCCAATATACAGGAAGTATAGTATCTCAAAAAACTTTCCCTTACATTTCAATATCACCATTAATTACAAACTAGACTGCAAGCTAATCAAAACAACTCAGCATCACATATGTTAGCAAACCTAGCAGGCTCTATCAGACAAACAAAAGAAACAGTAGTTTCAATGTATACTGTGA